AGATCATGACCTGAGCTGAAGGCAGACGCCCAACCAACTGAGCTACACAGGCGTCCCTCTTTTTTTTTTTTTCTTTTTTAAAGATTTTATTTATTTATTTGACAGAGAGAGACACAGTGAGAGAGGGAACACAAGCAGGGGGAGTGGGAGAGGGAGAAGCAGGCTTCCCACTGAGCAGAAAGCCCGATGCGGGGCTCAATCCCAGGACCCTGGGATTATGACCCGAGCCGAAGGCAGACGCTTACGACTGAGCCACCCAGGCACCCTGCTTCTCATTCTTGATATTGGTTAATTGTGTCTCCACTTTTTTCCTGATCATTCTGCTAGAGGTTTATCCATTTGATAGATCTTCACAAAGAAACAGCTTTTAACTTCATTGATTTTTTTTTTCCCCTGTTTTTCTGTTTTCTGTTGTATTGATTTCTGCTCTGGTTTTTATTACCTTTATTCTGATTCGTTTGGATTCCAATAGTTGTTTCCTAAGTTGAGAAAACTGTTTCCCATCCCCCAGGGATCACTGTCCTTCAGTGATGTCCAGTGTTCATATATTTTGAGTTCTTTAGTTGTTTCTGGAAGGAGTTTAAATCTGGTCCTTGATACTCCATCTTATCTGGAAGCAGAAATCTATGTTGCTGATATTTTCAACATCATCCTTTATAATCTACTTGTGTTGTATTTGGAATGATGTTCAATGTGATCACTTCTCTGTCCAAATGAAACTCAGAGGTTCTGCTAGTCAGTTATAAAGAGCTGCCTTCCTCTGTATTGAATATCACCAGATTCTTTATGTAATTTCTTCTTTCCTCATCCAAAAAAAAAAAAGAGTAATGATTTATTATGAATCCAGCATGTGTTATGGGTTTAAATATGTTACCTCTGGGGCGCCTGGGTGTCTCAGTCGTTAAGCATCTGCCTTCGGCTCAGGTCATGATCTCGCGGTCCTGGGATGGAGCCCCACATCGGGCTCCCTGCTCAGTGGGGAGTCTGCTTCTCCCTCTCCCTCTGCTGCTCCCCCTGCTTGTGCTCTCTCTCTCTCAAATAAATAAATAAATAAATCTTTAAAAATAAATAAATAAATAAGTTACCTCATTTAATCCTTATGATAACTCTATGAAGAAGTAATTGTCTTCATTATAAGATAAGGTAATTGAAGCTGAGAAGTTAAATAATTTGCCGGCGGTCACACAACAGTAAATGGTATAGTCAGCTTTCAAACTCAAGTCTGTCAGACCCAAGGACCCAGTATTGCTTTCTAGTTCATTACAGTACCATAAAGTTGATGAAATCCTTCAGAGGTTGTTTTGCTGAGTACAAAGAGACAGCTACTAATACCAACTCAGAAAGCTTTTTCTTATCTGCCCCTGCAAAGAGAGTAAGCATTTTACAACATCTAAGAAAGGAAAAACATTAGTACAGCTAGAAGGAATAGTTTTAATTGAAGTTCTGTCAGGTGGCAGGAAGGAAAAGGGCTAAGAGAGCTATTGTTAAGAAACAGAGGAAGAATGTGATTTTAGAAATGCTGGGTCAAGAAAACATTGTAACAGTGAAGTTACAGAGGGTGAAAGAGGGAAAAAGCAGAAGTTATTCAGCAGTGACATACTTTGGAAAGCTGCTGGAGCGATGAAAAAGCACATGGCCCTGACCCCCATTGCTGTCACTGAAACTTTTCATTCCCTTCCATGAGAATCAGACAATGAACTCAGAATAAAGGGGAAAGAAAAGAATGTTTAGTATCAAACAGTGTTGCCAACGTAAAATGTTTTGGATTGATTCCCAGTGGCACAGCACAGTGCATATTAACATTCCTTATATATTTTTGGAAGCATATTCTACCCACATTGGCTCTAATTTTAGTTTTTATAGATGTATGGGTGTTTTGTGTTGTTCTGTTGCAATGCCTGGTTATGGATTTTTTTTTTTTAAATGTCTGTAACCTCTACTAGAGTACGAAAGCTGTGTCTTCTAAGTATATGTAAATATGTTTACCTTTTATGGCAGTTTCTAGCATGTGATCCTCATCTTTTATATGACACGATGCCCTTTTGGAAAGTGATGGTATCATAGCCTGAGATGATTTGAAAGGTCAAGATTTGAGTCTTACTTTGTCATTGACGTGACTGACCATAGATGAATTATTTGTAAGATGAGGCACATGATTATCTCATTCAACTGTGAAGAATTTCCAGGAATAGTTATAAATGAGAATATTACAAGGGCTTTGAAATGTAGGCAGTACATTTGACAGGAAATATGTGCCATTTATTCTTTTAGAAGGCTCTATAGAATTTTATAGAGTCAGTTTTAAATGTTAATAATTACTCAAGAGAAATCACTTTAATTCATTAAAAAGTAGAATTGGACAATATAGGCAGCCTCTATGTTGCAACTCGCTGAATGCCAGGGAGTCTTGACCTTCTGCAAACACCTCTTCCTATTCAGAGGCCTCCCTGCACATTCAGCATTTAGTGGTGGCAGTTTCTCCACTCTAGAGTATGAGCTCCTGCAAAGCAAACTGTGTCCTTCGTTTCATGTCTATGAGCCTGGCACAGTGTTCAGCTTATTGCGGGGATTTGATATTAAAGTTATTCTTTCTATTGTGAGGCCTAATTCTGACTGTTCAGTCCTTCTATCTTTAATGTTGTAAACATGCATGCCTTTGCATATTTGAACATGGGAAAAAGTAGCTAAATAAATGCTTTTGTGTAACTAAAGACAAAGAAACTTTGCCTGTTTTGTTTCCTGTTTGTTGGATTTTTAGTTTAAAAAGTAAGATATTCTAATAGTTCAGATAGTACAGAGGTACATAAAACACAAGTCAGCCATCTCTATTCTCCGATCTTTGTTTTTCTTACTCTGCCTCCCTCTGTCAGATATTTATTTATGTTCATATAAATACTATTTGTACTTTAATATCATGAATAGTACTCTAGGCAAATACATTTTTTTACCCAGTTACTGAATACTACACTGAAAGTGAACAACAGAATCATCATACAGATACAGAATAGTTGTGAGGGCACCTTGTTTACCTTCATGGCCTTGAGGGCACAGCTGCTGCCCAGCATCACAAGAGGACATTGCACCACATATTGTAGCCTGGGCAAAGGTCAGAGTTTAAAGTATGGTTTCTCCTCAGTGTGTGTTGCTTTCATACCATTGCCAAATTGAAAAATTGTAAGTCAAACCATTTTAAGTTGGGGACCATCTGTAAATTAAATGAGATATTCGGCACTTTATTTTTACAAAGTAGTCTTTGTTTTAGGTGGTTTTGCCCAACTGTAGGCTAATGTAAGTGTTCTGAGCGTGTTTAAGGTAGGCTAGGCTAAGCTATGATGTTCGGTAGGTTAAGTGTATTGAATGCATTTTTCAACTTAGGATATTTTTCAAATTACGATGTGTTTATTTGGACATAACCCCATTGTAAGTTTAGTAAGATCTATAGTTTTACCTCCTGATGCTTTTATTTCTCCATAAGGGATTCATAAAAGTGAAATTGCTAGATCAGGTGATATGTTTAGTTTTTAATTGCAGTAGGCCGGTGTTGTTTTTTTTAAGGATGTATCAGTTTACATTTCTATCAACAATAGAGGAAAGCCTATTTCTCCAAATCCTTGGTAGCTTTAGAAATCTTTCTAACGTTTCCCCATATGATCAGTTTAAAATGGTAAGAGGCTGGGGCACCTGGGTGGCTCAGTCGTTAGGCATCTGCCTTTGGCTGGGGTCATGATTCCAGGGTCATGGGATCGGGCCCCACGTCAGCCTCCTTGCTCGGCAGGAAGCCTGCTTCTCCCTCTCTCACTCCCCTGCTTGTGTTCCTGCTCTCACTGTGTCTCTCTCTGTCAAATAAAATCTTTTAAAAAGTAATAATAAATAATAAAATAAAAAAGAAAATGGTAAGAGGCCTTTACTAGTATTTAACAGTGAAAAGAGAAAGGACACTGATAAACATTTCTTATATATTTGAAAGACATTTTACTCTTGTTTTTGTTTTTTTTGTTTTTGTGTTTTTTGTTTTTTTAAAAACCTGGTCCTTTCAGGGCCCCTGGCTGGCTCAGTCAGTGGAGCATGCGACTCTCGATCTTGGGGCTGTGAGCTTGAGTCCCACATTGCATATAGAGATTACTTAGAAATAAAATCTGCTTTCCACCATCTCTCTGTGTCGCCATAATGATGCACATGAATGTCCTGGCAGATGCCCTCAAGAGCATTAACAATGCTGAAAAGAGAGACAAACGCCAGGTTCTTATTAGACCATGCTCCAAAGTCATCCTCTGGTTCCTCACGGTGATGATGAAGCATGGTTACATTGGTGAATTTGAAATCACTGATGATCACAGAGCTGGGAAAATTGTTGTGAACCTCATGGGCAGGTTAAACAAGTGTGGAGTGATCAGCCCCAGATTTTGATGTACAACTGAAAGATCTAGAAAAATGGCAGAATAACCTGCTCCCATCCCGCCAGTTTGGTTTCATTGTCCTGACAACCTCAGCTGGCATCATGGACCATGAAGAAGCAAGACAAAAACACAGGAGGGAAAATCCTGGGATTTTTTTTCTGGGGATACATTCATGCAAATAAAATGCCTCAGTGGAGAAAGAAATAAAATCTTAGGGGCACAGCTGGTTAAGCACCAGCTCTTGGTTTTGGCTAACATCATGATCTCAGGGTCGTGAGATTGAGCCCCATGTCGGGCTCCATGCTGGGCATGGAGACTGCTTAAGACTCTCTCTCTCCCTCTGCCCCCCGCCCCGCTCTCACATGTGCATGCAGGCGTGCTCTCACTCACTCTCTCAAAAATAATAAAAATAAAATCTTAAAAAAAAAAAAACTGGTCTTTTCATAACAGGAAAAATACAAGTGAGAATAGATACTTTTTTTTCTATGTGCAGTTGAGTAAGTAAATTATATTTTGAAACAATCAGGTTTTAAGTGTTTCTTCCTGCTTTCAACCATTTTCTTGAAGTAAGCAAGCTAGCCAATGGCTTCTAATTTTCCCTAGCTTAATGCAGATCCTGAAAGAGAAGAAGGAGAAGAGTTTGAAGACAACATGGATGTTTTTGATGACAGCAGTTCCAGCCCATCTGGCACCTTAAGAAATTATCCACTTACCTGCAAAGTTGTTTATTCCTACAAGGTGTGTATTTCTCTAACCTATTGCTCATATTAAATTGTGGCAACCCTGAAGACACACGTGACTATGTCTACCCAGCCTCACATAGTGTGCTTACTATAAAATTGGTGTTCAGTTAACGTTAGAGACAATATAACATAATAGTGAACAGTCTAGGCTCTGACATCAGACTGCCTGGATTGAAATCCTGTCTCTGCCATTTACAAGCTCTCTGACCACACTAGCCCCTTGGTCTCTGTGAGCCTCAGTTTTCTTATCTATATTATGGGGATAATATCAGAGGGATAGTTTAAAGATTAAGTGAGATAACACTTTTATAGCAAAGCACTTAGTACAGTGCCTGGCATCTAGTAAATTTTTAGTAAATTGAAATCTTACCCTTATTATCAGTTGGACGCTTTGGCACAAGACCCTCCATTAGGAGGATGACCCTCCAAACTGATACTAAAAGAAAATTGTTTTACAAAAGTTTTGTTAAACTTTACCTTTCCTAATCTTAACATAACCACCCCTTGTTTCCATGGTAAGCAGGGACCTAGATAAATAGATGCCAGAATTTCAAATCCTGATTTGGTGTAATAGTTTTTCATCTCTCTCACCCCTGCTCTACTTACACATAAATTTTTTACTCATACAAAGTACATTGAATTTCCCTCCGCTCATCTAGTCCATCAACCAGCCCTGTTGGCTCTACCTCCAAAACATATCCTGAATCCATTCACTTTTCACCATCTTGGTCTAGGTAGGCCATTGTTTCAATTACTGTAAAAGAAAAAAAAAACAACAACAAAAACCCATAATTGGTATCCCTTCTACATACTTACCTCCCTCCCAACAGTCCATTGTTCACTTTGCAGCCAAAATTATCTTTAACAAATAAAGGAGATTATTTTATTCCCTTGCCTAAAAACCTTTTATAAGCTTTCCATCACACATAGGAAAACAAACTCTTCCCTAGAGTTTATAATGTTCAGATTGATCTGGCCCCTTACAGTCTCCCTAGCTTCGCGTCAGACCATTCTCCTAACCAACCCACTCACCACCCATTACCCACTGTGGCACCATGCTCCTTCCTAACTTGACAACTTTGCACTTGCTGCCCCCTCTACCTAGAACCATCTTTCCCCAGATTTTGGTTGGCTGCATACTGCTCTTCATTGAGGCTTAGCTCAAATAGTGCCTCCTCAGGTCTCCCCTGACAACCTAATAAAAGCCAAATGCTCATTCACTACTCTCTTCCCATTCCCCTTTTCCTTCTTTTATATACTATATAGCACTTACCACCAACCAAACTTAATCTTATTTGTTTTTATATTTCTTTGTCTTGATTCTGCACTAAAGGTCCATAAAAGCAGAAACCCGATCTGTATCCGTGTACCTTGTCTGTGTGTCTCCAGCATGCAGGCCGGTACCTGGCACACGGCAGGTCCTCAGTAAATAATTGTGGGATAAATACATGAATGATATAAGGAAGGCATAAACAAATGAATCCTTCTCTGGCTTCCATGCTGATGGACACCCAATGCTTAAGGGACAACAACAGAAGAAGTGTCTGGAAAGAATCTTCAACAGCCATACATGGGGGACAGTCGCACTCCCACTGTCCCTGGATGGCCACAGCTTGGCAGTATATACTCTTCAACATCAGTGATTCCCAGACTTTTTAGTTTAACATCCTTTCATTATATACTTAAATTATGAATACTTCCTCTTTTCTAAAAGAGGAAGTAAACTCTTTTGATAATGTTTTGAAAATTTCAAAGCATCTTCTGAGATAGTTGGAAAGGTATTACAGAGTATTATAAAACTAGGGTTGGGAATGTTTTCTCATCTCACCTCTCAATATTATATTTACTTTGAAGTTCCAGAATTTAAAATTTAAGGTCCTTAAATGGAGAGGATCCCAAGAGTCTGAGTGATTATAAATAGCTCACATCCCTCCAGCATTCCCTCTATTGGCATATGCCAGGCATGTCCCTATGATAAAGCAGACTATAAAAATCTATTTAACTAGTTCGTCACTGAACATTTATTTAGTGCCTGATAAGTTTCAGGGATGCAAGAATTAATGTGACACAATTCCTGCCCCCCCCGAATGGATAGTCTGGGGGAAGTAAATATTAAACTGAAAAATAGAATATGTATAAAACATTTATAGTAGAGGTTAAAACCACTAATTTTTTCCTGTGATGGGAGAAATTTCATAGATGAGGGGGCACTTAAATTAGGTCATGAGTAAGATCTTACTAAATACAGTGAGAAGGGAAAGAGCCTTCTAGGCAAAAAGAACAGTAGATACAGAGACAGAGGTGGATGAGAGTATGGGGTGTTCGGGAAATGTTACATTCAGTAGGGGGTGAGCATCAGGTGTAGGGATTAGAGCTGCTGGAAATAAAGATGTTTACTGTTAGTAAAGGGCCTTGGAAACCAAACTGAAGTATGGTTTGTATCCTGGCTGGTGAGAACCTTTGGATGTCCTAAAATCAGATGGGGTTTTTAAGAAGGAAACAACCCTGGTCATGGTATAGACACCGTACAGGTTAGATTAAAGAGAAATGGACTATAAGCCTATAGTCCAGACCTGGAAAGGAGGCCTGGATTAATCTGGTGAGAACAAAGAAAAGTTATATTTAAGGATTAGATTCAAAAGCCTTAAAAATGCTCATAACCTTTGCCCCTACTAGCATATATCTTAAGGAAATGATCCACAACTTAGAAAAAGGTTTTGATACAAAATGTTCTTTCATCATAGTGCTATTTTATGATAGCTTGAAGTTGGCTATCCGATAAGAGAATAGCTAAATAAATTAACCATTCATATAATAATGTATATAAAATATTATCAAGATAATTGAAAATTACGTTAATGAGTCTTTTTATGTAAGAAGCAATGATAGGTCAGAAGAGTAAGATGCCAAATTACATGTACCTTAAGATTTCGATTAGGGCGCCTGGGTGGCTCAGATGGTTAAGCATTTGCTTTCGGCTCAGGTCATGATCCCAGGGTCCTGGGATCGAGTCCCGCATCGGGTTCTCTGCTCCTTGGGAGCCTGCATCTCCCTCTGCCTCTCTCTCTCTCTGTCTCTCATGAATAAATAAATAAAAATCTTTAAAAAAAAAAAAGATTTCGATTATACATATTTCCAGCTTTTCTACAGTGAACATGTATTATTTTAATCAGGAAAAAAGCACATTGTTTTCAAAGGAAATGGGAAATAGAGAGAGTGGTGGGGATGCACCACTTGGCTGCTTCTAGGGTTTGATTGTCCCTGGGAGTTAGGACTTCAGGGGGCAGTGTAAGAGCATGTGTTTATTTAGTAAGCCCTTCCTAACCACTTTCTCTCTTTAGTTGGGATACATGAGAAGAATTACATTCCCTGCAGTAAGTAAGTCATTCTGCTGGGAACCCTACAAGGGCAAACAACTAAGCAGAGTGCCATGGTATTTCGTGGTAGTTAGAGAGATGCACAAGCCTTACAACAAAAGGAGGAAGAAGCCACCAGCTCATGGTGGGTGGTCTGGAAAAACATAATAGCTGGGTCTCAAATCATGAGTAATAGTAATAGCTACATATGTGAAGTATTATGTGCCTGGCACCATATTTATGTTATTCTAATCTCTTCAATAACCCAATATGGGAGATATTATCAACCAACCCATTAATTCAACAAATATTAATTGAGCACCTCTTGTGTAACATCCTGTGCTCTTTTCTAGGCTTTGGAATATGGCATTGATGAATACAGACAAAAATCTCTGCCTTCATGGAGCTTACATTCTAATAGGAATAAAAAAGAAAACTGAGGCTCAGAGAGGACTTACGGTCACTTGCCCTTAGAAACAGACTGAAGCTGGACTTGAACCCAGTCATCTAAGTCTATTCATCAGATGGGAAAGAGGGAGCAGGGCCTGCTGGAAAGAAGGAACAGCCTGGTAAAAGCATAGAGGCAAGGAATAACATGGTGTGTTCCAGAGACTAGGGAATAGTGTGTGGGGCCAAAGCATTGAGAGACCACAGTAACCAAACTCTGTAGAGTCTTGAGATCCATGCAGAGGACTTGACCTTGTCAAGTGGAAGAATTGGTCACTGTTTGGGGATGGTATGATCAACCCAGTATCTGCTGATACTACATAGTAGCACTGAACAACTTGCATGGACCTCTATGACTTTTTTACAAGGGCAACAGTATATTTAAAGGTGTTCTTATCCTTCCTGCTTTGTTCTCACACATTGAAGTCCATTGTGTTGATACTTTTTAAGTCTTCCCATGGAATTAGGGAAAATGTCTTTGTTATAGTGTTGCCTTTTGCTGGTATAGTCAAAGCATAGAGAGGTTTCAGATTAGCCAAGAAATTTCACTGGAAAAGCTCTCATGAATAAATGACGTTTTTCCCCTCAATTTTGGAATCAGGTAGTTTACTTAAAATTCTGGTCCTGGAGTATTTCTGTAACTGGTCAGCCATTCTCAGTACTATTTGAACATCTCAAGCAGTTGTGGCAACATCCAGAATCTGGGTTTGATGAAATATTACAATGCATGTGAAATGGGAAGTGAGTCTTAATAAAGTGACCCATTTTCTTGCCTTATTTTTGCTTGTGTAACTTGGAGATATTTTACACTTTGAGATTGTGAGATTTGAAAAACTATATGGTCTTATAGTTACATAGTTGGGACTAATCTTGGGACTTGGGGAACGCTTTTAAGACTGTTCACCAGAGAGCCAGAAGATGCCAGCAGGCCTCTCCCTGCTACATGTGACAGCAAGTCTCTTTAGGAAACACAGCCACACAGTTTCTCCCCCCAAGAGTTTGCTCAGATTCTGCAGTCTCAGGAGCAGTATCTGGTGGCCGGTGCTGGTGGATTCCTGCTGTCAGAGATAATAAAAGCATCACAGCAGCTTGCACAATAGCACCTAGGCAGATCAGCCCAGTCTTCACAGTTAAGTTAGAGCGTAATAAATCCAAATTGCGACCCATCTCAGTCATTTCCTTCCCAGCTTTCTTCTCCTGGCCATTGTTTTTCATACAGTGACTCCAGATCAGTTCCAGGCACCGCTCACGCTGTCATCCAGTCCATGCACATAGCTGTTTGCATTCTCACGGTGCGCACCTCCATTTGCCCTCTGCGCAGTTCCAGTTCAGTGCTTGCTCTGCCTGTGCTTCCCAAATCACCATGGTTCTCGGCTTGCTCATCCCCCACTGACTCCCCCATCCTCCCCAAAATGGCAGGAGTGTCATTTTGAAGAAATGGAGGCATCAAGAAGTTGAGTAACCTAACCAATAGATCCATAAGCTGGAGCTGGAGCCCAGGCCCCTGCTTCCAGCAGAGTGCTGTACAGTTCACTGCACCTGATGGCCTCCTGAGGATTCCGTTTCTCCAGTTTTTGTTGCAGCTTTATTTTGTTTAGTTTTTTAAAGCAAAACTCCACCTCATTACGATAGTTTTACAACCCTTAAATTTTTATGTTCAGTATGTTCTTCAAAATCATTTCAATATTTTGATCCCCAGTTTTTGTTATGATCAGCATACATCTGCTCTTTATCTAACCTTTTTAATTTTGTCCATGACCATCCTACATTGCAGGCTTCTCAACCAGATGAGTTGACCATTGAGGAACATGAGGTGTTAGAAGTGATTGAAGATGGAGATATGGAAGACTGGGTAAAGGTATATTCCTTTGCTCATATCGCCCCTTCTTGTGACATTTTTAGGAGTTGGTTTTGGTTTTGGTTTTGCCCTGTCCAGATGGTGTGTGCAAACCTATTTTGTCACATGTCTTTTACTCAGGCTCGAAATAAAGTTGGCCAAGTGGGTTATGTGCCAGAAAAGTACCTACAGTTTCCCACCTCGAACAGTCTACTGAGCATGCTGCAGTCCTTGGCTGCTTTGGACAGTCGGTCCCACACATCCAGCAATTCCACGGAGGCCGAGCTCGTTTCAGGCAGCCTCAACGGAGATGCCAGTGGTAAAGACTGAAACAAGGCACTCTTTATTTGGTCACATTTGGCCTAAGCAGTATTGCCCTGGAGTCTGCCTTCAGTGGGTTAAAAAGCAAAACTTTATTCCTGTTATATGTTTTCTGTTATTTGGTCACATTTATCCTGTACAATAGAACCCTGAAGTAGATCTTCAGTAAGTAAAAAAATTACAGCTGTACTCTTACCCTGTATGATGGTCTTTTAGTTGTCACATGAGCGTAGGGGTGGTTGCGAAAGTAACCTGGCTGTCCATGTCCTTATGCATTTTTCTCCCTTTTGCTACCTAGTCTGTTTCGTGAAAGCACTTTATGACTATGAGGGCCAGACAGATGATGAATTATCCTTTCCTGAGGGAGCAGTCATCCGAATCTTGAACAAAGAAAACCAGGATGACGATGGCTTCTGGGAAGGGGAATTCAGTGGGCGGATTGGAGTTTTCCCATCGGTGCTAGTGGAAGAACTTTCAGCCTCAGAGAACGGTGATACTCCGCGGGTGAGAGAGATTCAGGTACGTGAGAGGGGAGAAAGCTGAATTAAAAGGTGTTTAAAGGTGTTTAAAGAAAATAACCCCCGAGGGGTGGTTGACCCATGCAAACGTGGGCTACAGTCTCAGCCCCGCCTTCCCACTCCAGTCCTCTGTTGCCAGGTTTCTGCAAAACTGAGTTTGGAAAAGCAGAGACTCACCAACCCGGCTCCTGGGTAATGGCCGTATTACACCTCCATTTGCCTGCTTTTTGTGCTCTGAATCAGTTAACCGAAAGGATAAATTGTATATGACCTACAAAAGAATGGTTTGGTAGGGAGAAAGAAAGAAACCAGAGGGGGAATGTATTGTCTCCGTGCTTAGTTTAGGTAGTGAAAATACTGCTCTTTCTCTCCATCACGGGCAGAGCCTGCCTGCCAGTCCTTTTCAGAGAACTAATGAGCCTACCAGAGCCCCATTTTACTGATGTATCTCTAGGCTCAGCTCATCCTAGCAAAACTTGGCTTTACAGGAAACCCCTAAATCAGGTCTGCCACAGCAGGCCTGGCAGATCCAGCACCAGAAGGAACATGTCTCCCCACCTTGTTTGTGTGACATTGTGACCACCTAGTCTGACATTTACAAAACCTGGGGAATGGGCGCCTGGGTGGCTCAGACGGTTAAGCGTCTGCCTTTGGCTCAGGTCATGATCCCAGGGTCCTGGGATCGAGTCCCACATCGGGCTCCCTGCTCGGCAAGAAGCCTGCTTCTCCCTCTCCCATTCCCCCTGCTTGTGTTACTGCTCTCGCTATCTCTCTCTCTGTCAAATAAATAAATAAAATCTTTAAAAAAAAAAAAAACAAAACCTGGGGAAGTCAGAAACAGCCAATTATTTTATCTTAACAAAAAAATAGAACAGAACTTGTCCTGTTTTTTTTTGTTCTTCACCAGATTTATTGAATTGACCGATCTGGTACGTTTTCAGTAGAATTCTAGAGAATGGTTTGACTTGATGACTGTTTATGATAAACTATAATCAGTAGTGTAATGAGATCTCTGAGAGGAAAAAGTTAAATGCATCACAAAATAGGGTTTGGGATTGTTATTCTAAGCTCATGTGCTTCTAATGAGGCTGACAAAAATTGTAAATAGTCCTATCTGAGCTGCAGAGAACAGTAATATGTCTGAATTAGCGAAGCCAGATCGCCTCTCCTTCCTGCGGTGAGCACTTTGTAGCCTCTCTTTCCTTTGTGGCAGATCTCTCCTTCTCCCAAGCCACCGGGCTCCCTGCCTCCACTGCCGTTATATGACCAGCCTCCCAGCAGCCCTTACCCCAGCCCAGAGAAGAGGAGCTCCCAGTACTTCCCACGCTCTCCTTCAGCAAATGGTAAGCGTTCTCCTGGCATGGAGCTAACTTCATTTTCGTTCAGAAATCCACATGTTCACCTGAAGAGCACACGGATCTGCATTAGCATTTTTATTGCTCAACAACACAAATAAAATGAGCTGCTTGGTTCCCTCCCCTAGAAAACAGCTTCCTTGCCGAGTCACCGGGATTCTCACGGGCACCACGGCATACTCCTGAGACCTCATATGGCAAACTGCGACCCGTAAGTCTCTTATCTGGCAGGGTTACAGAATGCACGGTTCTTCCAAAATGAAAGTTAAAAATTAATGTCTCCCCATGGCCCCTATGTTACGCTGATTCCCCCATGCAAGGGTCAGGTGGGTTGGGGACCATAAAAAGAGCTCTTAAAAATGAAGGCTATAGGGGCGCCTGGGTGGCTCAGTCGGTTAAGCTTCCAACTCTTCATGTCAGCTCAGGTCATGATCTCCTGGGTCGTGGGATTGAGCCCCGTGTCCTTGGACTTGCCGCTCAGTGGGGAGTCAGTCGGCTTGAGAATTCTCTCTCTGCCCCTCCCCGCACTTGTGCATGCACGTGTTCTCTCTCTCTCTCTCTCTCTCTCTGTCAAATCTTTTTAAAAAAATGAAGGCTATAAAAAGCAACACATCTTGGAAGGTCTGGTCTACACGGGCAGTTTTCTCACCGAGCCATGGTGAGATAGCTGTGAAAGTGTATTTAAATTATAGCAAGCTCTGTGAGCATTCACGTGGTCTAATTGTGAAACAGAAGCACTTTTTTTTCCAGCGAACATTTATTGAGAACCTATTTTCCGGGCTTATATTTGGCCTCTTTTGAGGAACAGAGATGAAATGAGATCTACTTCATGCCTCTTTGAGGTTTAAGAGCTTCTATTCTCAAGGAGAATCTACTGTTAGAAATAATCACCTCTACTCACCCCTCACTCCATGCCTTCAACTCCTTCCCCCCACCTCACTGTGAAACAGCTCCAGGGTCATAACTTTCCCACACTCATCCAGTGCATTTATTTTCCTTGAACTGCTTATCAGCATTTGACACCAGTCCTTGAACCACTCACTTCCTTTGGCTTCGTTCATTCAGACATGGATTGAGTGCGTTGTTAAAGACTTTGGTTCTTTATCCTAAGTGTAATAGGAAGCCATTGCAAAGTTGTAAGCAGGACAGTGATGTGACTGGTTTTGCATTTTTGAAACATTGCAATGGCAGCTAAGTGACAGTGAATGGAAGGTGGCAGAATGGACATGGGGAGCCATCTGGAGGCTCGAGCAGTGGTCCAAGCAAGAGGGGACGGCAGCATAGACTGCTGGGTGTGAGTGGGAATGGGGAGAAGTGGGCCAGTTTGTTCCAAAACCCTTTCCTGGTTTGCTTTCTACTCTGGCCCTTTCTTTTTCATTGACCTGTACGGGCTTCTCTGCTTCAGCCCATCTCTGCTGATGCTTCTCAGGGTTCTGTCCATGGGCTGCTTCTCCTGAAGTCATTAAACTCACTCTCCCTGTGCAACCTTATCTCCTCCCACAGCTTTGATAACCATTTATTTACTGACAACTTCCAGACTTCTGCCAACCCAGTCTCTTCCCTGAGCTTCAGCCTTGTGGACATCTCAGTGTACACAAACCAGAGCCCCAAACTCAGCAACAGTGAGTTAATTATCCTCCCTGCCTGACATGCTCCTTCTCCCGTACTGCCCGCCTTGGTGAGTGGAACCTCCATTCTACCACCGCTCTGGCATCACTCTTGGTAGCTCCCTGGCCCTGCCTCCCACAGACAGTCATCACCAAATCCTGCCACATTTACCTTGGAGACAGCTGTCAAATCTCTCTTTTCCTCTACCCACCCCCCACCTGTGCCTAGGTCAGGCTAACATCAACTCTCACTTGACCACAAAAGCTTCCTAAATTGTCGTCTTACCTGTACTCTAGCCCGCCCCCGCTCTTTTTCCAAACTGTTATCCGACTCATCCTTTCACACCTTTGCTACCGCTATTTAAAATCCACCAAAGAGGGGCGCCTGGGTGGCTCAGTTGGTTAAGCGACTGCCTTCGGCTCAGGTCATGATCCTGGAGTCCCTGGATCGAGTCCCGCATCGGGCTCCCTGCTCGGCAGGGAGTCTGCTTCTCCCTCTCCCACTCCCCCTGCTTGTGCTCCCTCTCTCGCTGTGTCTTTCTCTGTCAAATAAATAAATAAAATCTTAAAAAAAAAAAAAAAAAATCCACCAAAGACTCCTCTTTGCCCACAGAGTAAGGCTCAGATTTCTTAACATGGCTTTATGAGGCCCTTCATGACTTCACCCCAGGCCACCTCTCTAGTCTTCTCTCTCGCAGCTCTCCTTCCAGGACAGGCTGAAAGGTTTTCAGTTTGCAAGCACTGCTCTCTCTGGCTTCCACCTCCAGGCCTTTGCTTTGGACGAGGCTTTTAGGGCTACAGCCGAGCTTTCAGCCGAGGAAAGAACCTGATTTGTAGGGTCCACATTTCATCAGAACAGTAACTCCCTGGTGTGGGAAATAGTGAAAATTACTTTGGAAGCACGTACTTTCATGTTCAGAGCATTTGAGACCCCTGGGGTGCCTGTGACTGTGGGTAAATGACCTATTGGGCTTTGGAGGCTTCAGGAAGCACTGAATCAGGAAGCCGACTGACAGTCCATGTATTTGTTTCCTGCTCAGGTCCGGGCAGCTCCCCCTCCACCTACACAGAACCACCGAAGGCCAGCAGAGAAGATTGAGGATGTAGAAATCACACTGGTGTGATGATGGGTTTACCCATCCATTACTGCTACAATCAAGGCCAGGCTTGGCGTTTGGCCATTCTTGTTCTTTAGGCACCTTTGCATGATGATGACTCTTGAACAGAGTGAAAACAAGGAGGATTATGTGACTGGGTGGCCTGGTGGACTCCTCCCACGTTTTGAATATTTTGTGCCTTTTTTTGTTGTCATTTTCTAGGTCATCTCTCCTACCATAGCACAAATCCTAGTGGGCCCTAGAAACAGAGGGGGACAGCCCTCATGCCTGTCAGTGGCCCATTTTTATATGAGACTCAAGACCAGGCCTCATTCAGGGCACAGTCACAGAGAAACTGATCATGTGCACTCGTACAGTATATTACTGTGGCCACAAGGATGTGGCAAAGATCCTCATCTTTCTTCAAGTGGCTTTTGCTCGTCTGATTGAGTTTAATCAGATCATGTCGGCTGCATAAGGAACTAGAAGGAGGGATTTCAGGAGGGGCTGGCTCCTCCCCACAGTTAGTCCCCAGACTGAGAAAGTGAAACCTTACTGGGAAGAAGTGGACCGCCCTGAGTTTATGCCAGTTGCTTTAATGCACATCTCTTCCACAGCTAACAGATTGAAAACAGTAACAGTGTCCTTTGTATTAATATTTACGCCATTCATTTAGTGTTAGTGGAGCTAATATGGAGGGGCTGAACCGATAGCCAAATCTTGTCCATCACGTAGACTAATAGAAAGGAGGCTGAGGCTGAAGCAGAAATGGAGCTTCCAGATCTGAAATGAGCCAATTTAATGTTCTTTTTGTATTTGGGTATTTTTCATCTTAATTTTTGCAGCATATATTCTTCTGACCAACATCTTTAGAATCTGAATGTCTAGATAAATTGGGGACACACACTTGCCTTGTTGAGCTTCTCTCCTGGGGAGGCCCCTCATGTTGTTTTATTCCCAAGCCGGTGCACGAGCCCAGTCAGCCAGCCTGTGGCTGCCCGAGACGGGTGGCCACCCCCCACAGGGTCCCCCTGGCCTGACATTGCCTTGGGAGGAAGAACCTGTGGCTCATGGAGGAAACCAGCTTCCTGTGAAAAAGGACTAAAGGACTGCACACCGTGCACAAGTGCAAACGGACAAGGAAAAAACAAGTTCTCCATGTCACAAGGAGAGCCAAGAGTAGTGTTCTCCACAGGCTAGCGAGCTCACGGTGGCAGGTGGCCCAGAGTAGGTCTCTGTTGGCGGGCCACCTCCTGTGGAAGAACGGGAGTGCCGAACCCAGGGACAAGGGCTTTTTTTTTTTTTTTTTTTTTTTGCCAGTTGCGGTTTTTTTTTTTAGAAATCAGATTTGCAGAATTCAATCTAAAAGTTGTATTATGCTTTGAAAACTCCATCCCTCCTAAGAATCTTTAAAAACTTGAAATGCTCGCCAAATGTCCCCATGGGATTTTTGACCAAATGTCAGGTTACAACTGAAGAAATCTTCAGTTAGTCGTTTGATCACTTCAGTGACAGTACCCAGTGACAAGTCTTCTCTGTGATTTGGGGTTTTTGTTTTGTTTTTTTGCATTTCTTAACCTGTTGATCTATTTGAGGTCTTTTTGTGTTTATCAAACTTATTCTTAAGTTTAAAAAAAATTAAAAGGGTGGCTTTTTTAAGAATTTAAAGTTCTCTGACAATTTAAAAATCTTCAAAGCACTTTAAACAATCTTCCAAGTGCTTGAATCAGGCCGTTCTCGCTACCCAGTCTTGTCTTCTCTCTTTAGCTAGCCAAATTGTCCTTGAATCTGGATTTTCCACATTCTCAGAGGTTATTTGAAATCTTTTGTTATATTTTAAAATATTTTTTGGAAGAGCTGCTGATTTTATTTTAAAAAAAAACAAAAGTTGTAAAAATATGCCTCCTTTTTAAAAAGAACCCCTCCCTCCAGGACATGTAATCCAGCATCACAGTGCACAGGGCCAGGCTCGGAGGGAGTGCCTCTGTGCAGATGTGCTTTCTTTACAGTGGCTGTAAAAAGTTTGTATTTATTATGTATAAAATGTTGAATAATAAAAAAAAAATGGAATTAAGTTTTCTAAGTTTCCATATAAAAAGATTTGGGTAAATAGACCTTTCCAAATAGACAATGCTTTTTATAAAGACATTCCTAAGCCTTCCTTTTTTAAACCATAAAACAGATACAGAGAGGGGGTAAATAAAGTCCCAGTTAAAGGCTGATTCCTTCTGGCTACCAGCCAGCCACATTGAGGACCAGGGCTCAGTCTGTTTGGGGAGGGGCCCCACGGCTCTCTCCTTCCCAGAGCTGGGACGTGCAATATGTATTCTTCCAGACATTTTCTGTGCATAAAACTTACACACAGACACATTGTCTTTTTATATACATGGGATTATATATTTAGGTTTCCCTCATTCTTTTTGAAGGCTGTCTTACATTCCATGGTTTGGATATATCATAATTTAAGCCTGCTGTAGTGATGGATGTTTAGGTTGTCTCCATCCATTTGCTGTTAGAAAGTTGAAAACAACATCTTTGTACATTATTCTTTATAAATTTGTTCCAGTAAAAATATTGGGTGAATTCCTGAATGTGTAATTTGAGAGTCAGAAAGCTATATGAGCATTTAGCTTCATTAGATTTTGTCAAATTGGCCCCCAAAATGATTGTATCTGTTGACACTCCCACCAGCAGCATGAGAGGCAACAGCATGGACTTTGGAGGCAGAAGGTCAGAGTTGAATCCCAGCTCCCACTTGACAGCCGTGGGAACCGAGCCTCCACAGGATACCACTGTGGATCCAAGAAGGATGCGCGAGGCTGGGGCGCCAGGTGGTCACCACCAGCGTTCCTCACCATCGCCTCCCCCACCGCCCGTGACCCTCCCTTCACAGCTGGGGTCCTTGCTGTCTTCCAGCTTCATAGTCACACAAGGCTGTCAGCGGAAGGAGGGCCTCACAGAAATACGGGCAGGGGCACGTTGAATACCATGTTTGAATCAGCTGTTGGCATCAGGCTGGCTGCGACCAGCGGACGGTTAAACTGCCCCGCCGCAGCGTCGCAGCTGAATTCTGGCCTCCTTCTTCAAAGGCACTAACTGTAGAACAATGAAGCCATAGATTCACAGCACATCACCTGGATCCCTTTTGTCTCTGACCTTTGACCCCCACCCCCACCTTCAAGCCCGACAGAGAGGCAAGTAGGAGGATATCATCTGGCTTTAGCCCTGCCACCACTTGATGGGAACGACCCTTCCCTCTGGGCTGCTGCATCCCCAGCTTTGAAAGGAGTGGGATGAGATGATTTCCAAGGGCTTATCCAACTCTTATGTTCTAGATAAGCTCAGTTCCTAGACACGGTGAAAACACCACACAGAGAGGTCACAGTATTTGAGAACAGACTAACACACAGATTTCTCGGGATGGCCAGAAATTGAAAATTGAAGCCATTGGACACTCCCGCCTCTGCCACCCCCCCACCCCCACCCCGGGAGAAAGCAAACCCTCCTCTGGATTGTGATCCCATCCCGGGCTGTTCTGTTCACTCATTGCCCAAGTCCAGCCACAGCTTTAGGTCATGGAGCCAGTTACCGCCTGAGTGGCTGTACGACAAAATCTAGCTGCTCTGAATCTTTGCATTTATTTTGTTCATTACAAAGAGGTTTTTCATGACAAAAACACAACCAAGTTACAGAAATTTTAGAAGAGAGAACTGTAATTTGTCCTGAAATCCTACAACTCGACGCAACCAGTATGTTTCCTCCTAGACTGTTTGTTCTGTCACTGTTGATCTGCCAAGAACCCTGTGAATGCCAAAGAGCGTCTTGTTCCTGGACCATTTTCCCCTGGTCCCACCGGCCAGAAAAACAAATGGCGTACTTCTGCCCTGTTTTCTGAGAGCTCTGGTCTGGGAATATTTTCCCGGCATGTTCTCCTAAAACAACAGAAATGAACCCACAAACAGGGTTCACACCCCTTCCACACTGTGTGCTAAGCGCCTAAGCGGCCTTCTCGTTCTCGTCACCCCTTGCTCCTGTGAGGGGTAGGGGAGGAGCCTGGTCAGAAGCCCTGTATTCACGCCCCTGGCCACCTTGATGAGCTGTGGCCTGCTCACCCCTTCGCCTTTCTGGGCCTTGCTTTCCTCATCTGTGAAGTGGGAGTGAGAAGGCAATACAAACGTCCTAAAATCCAAGAGGATCAACTGAGATAATGTGCAGAAGGATGAAAATATTTTTGACCAGTAGATACATGTTCAGAGAAAGAATACAGCCTGTACCCAGGACATGGTATGCTGACTCTGCACAGATGGGTCCTCACCTGGTGCCACCAGGATTCTTCCAGAGGACTTCCTAGTGGTCAGGACCACCTCTATTCAATTGCTGTTGAATACTGAATTCAAACTACCCCAGGTCTTATTCTGGGCACTGGAGACATAAATGACTCCGATCTCATCCCTGTCACCAAGGGGCTCACACCTGGTGGGGGAGACTCAGGAACAGCAGGCTCCAGCTAAGGTGCGTCTTCCAGGGAAATGACCAGGGGGCAGCAGGAGTTCAGAACAACGGCTTCTGTCATTTCTCCCTGGCAAGTCTCAGGCTCACTAGGGCCTCACTGGGCAGGGCACACAGAGGAGGCCGTACCCGTGCCCGCAGAACAGCCCCAGCGAAGAGCTGTGTCACCTTTGGTGCGGCCCAGAGCTGTGGGCCTGGAAGTCTCAGAGGTGAGGAAACCTCCTCCGCCCCCTAAGACCACTGGGAGCAGGACCTAGAACTGGGTGTCCCAGACCAGGCCAGCCCCTCTCTGCAGAACCTGAGGGCAGTTTTCAGAAAAGTGGGAGGCCTGGGTTCTTATCCCAGCTCTGCCTTGTGACCCTGCACAAGACCCTGGCCCCTCTCTGGGCCTCAGCCCGTGTACATAGCAAGGGAAAGGCCATTCCAGTTTTGACCTTAGAGACCCCAACTCAGGCACGGTCTGAGTACCTGAGAACTGAAAACCTGGAAGGTATGCAGACCTGAAAGGCAGAGGATACTGAAGGCCTAGAGAGGTTTTTAGCCCTGGGGCCCTATCCTCACCCTCTCTACCACCAGGGAACTTTTTCAAAGACTAGATGGAGGGGCAGCCTTCCCAGCTGGCTCCCCTCTGAGCTCTTCCCCTGCTGAGTCTTTGCCAGCCAGCCCCTCTTCCCCCACACCCACCCCTTCCCCAAATGCCTTGGCCTGTCACTGGCCCTTCCAGCCGTGCTCCTCCAGGAAGCGTTCCTTCCCAGTAAGCTGAGGTGCGAATGCGCTCCCTGAGGCGAAGCAGCTGCACGCCAAGGGTGGGCTGTCAGATTGGCCCCGCGAAGGAGGGAGGGTTTACGGGGAGCAGGGGGGTTATTGTCCCTGGAGTCGAGTCTATCATTTCTGAACGCCTTTTCTAGATTATCTAAGCAGCCTTCGCTGCAGTCCTGGGAAGTACCTGCCCCAAGTGGGGCAGCCGGTAACAGCCTCCCAGGATTCAAGTTCACCTCATTCCTGTGGCCCTGCGTGTCCCACACTTCAAGGGACACTGACCCTCCATAATCAGGCCTCGGCGGCCAGAGCCCAGAATGGAAAAAAGAAAGGATGCAGGGAGGGATTTAGGTTGGACACAAAGCTAGAATCCCCCAGCAATGGTGGAGGCAGGGCACATACCACTTGGGGACAGAGGGCAGGGGGATGCCCTGCAGCCCTGCATAATTGGGAGCCCAGATCCTCAAAATGTTATTTTGTTGTTTAAAAAAAAAACAAACCCACAGTCACAAGCCAGTTCTGTGATCTCACAACACTTAATCTGCTGATTTTATCACCTGTGAAAGAGAGAAACTCCCTCACACGGAGGTTGAGAGGAACAAATAAAATACTGCATGGCAAGTGCAGAGCAGGGGCGCCTGGGTGGCTCAGTCGGTTAAGCGTCTGCCTTTGGCTCAGGTCATGATCCTGGGGTCCTGGGATCGAGCCCCGCATCGGGCTCCAGTCCCGCATCAGGCTCCCTGCTCAGCAGGGATTCTGCTTCTTCCTCTGACCCTCTTCCCTCTTGTGCTCTCTCAAATAAATAAAATCTTTAAAAAAAAAAAAAAAGGAAAGAAAAGTGCAGAGCACTGTGCCTGACACATAAGCACTGGGTAGTGGTGGCTACTGGAAGCACTGGTCTTTCCTGCCGGGAATCCCAGGAGACTGGAGAATGGCTCAGCAGACACTAAGCCGCTGGTGACTCCTGGTGGCCACTGGGTGCCAGGACGAGAGGGCTGGGCCTCCGGGGATCAGGCTGGAAAATTCTGGACCTCTAGCATGTTCAGCTGTTAGACTTGCTGAGTCGGCCATTTAACAGACATTTCCCGAGGCTCTCTCTGGGCCAGGCCTAATCGCAGGAATTACTTTATTCCCATCCTGGCCTCTTCCAAGAGCTCCCTGACTGAAAATGGAGGGAAGGAGACACAAAGAGGAACACAAGGAGAGAGGAGGACCCTAGCCAGCCTGGTAAGTGAGGAAAGGCTCTCAGGGAGAAGATCACGAAGGACAAATTTGAATTGGGGGCTGGGAGGGAAGGACATTTGGGGCAGAGAGAAAATCAATGTGCGAAACACATTCAGAGTAGCAAGGAAATGAAAATGCAGCTGAGGTCAGTGGGCTCATTCCTGAGGGCTTTGGATTTAATGCCAAAAAGCTTCTTTGCGGGCAGCCTGGGAACTTCAAAGGGTCGTATCTGTGACCACGATACCTTAGAAAGTCACTCTGGCCACGGCAAGAGGGGTCCAGGTGGAGACACAGCAAGACTAGAAGGGGGCCTGCGTGGCAGCTAGGTTCAAGTCAGACACAGTGGCTCCACCCCTGGTGCCTGAGGATGTGGGGCGTGAGGGGGAGACGCTTGTGTCGGGGAGCTGCTGTCCAGGAGGCAGCTAGGTATGTCACCTGGAGCTCGGGGCGGCTGGGCCAAGAGCAGTGAGTGAGCTGAGAGCCAGCAGAGTGTAGACTAGGTATTTCATCGCCACGCGCTCTTTGGCATGTGCCGGGAGCTTCACAGACACTAACACACTGAGTCTATATGGTAAATTCTGAGGTGAGGATGGTTTTTGTTTTTTTTTTTTTTTTGAGAGAGGGAGAGGGAGAAGGCATGAATGGGAAGTGGGGGAGGGGCAAAGAGAGAGGGAGAATGAATCTCAAGCAGACTCTGCTGAGCGTGGAGCCCAACACGGGGCTCCATCTTGAACCCCAAGATCACGACCCCAGCGGAAACCAAGAGTCGGACGCCTAATGGACTGTGCCACCCAGGCGCCCTCTGAGGTGAGTACTATTATTTTCCCCTTTCGCAGAGGAGGAAACTAAGGCACAAAGCCGTTAAGGAACCTGTTTAAAATCACCCAACTACTAAAGAGCGGGCTGCGACTCCAACGCAGACAGCCCGGCTGCAAAGTTCAGGCGCTCAGCAACCTGCTGCTCATCCTGGGAACGGCTTCCTAACCCTGGGAATGGCAACAACCCCCAAGGGAGACTTTGGAAGGTGATAAGGAAGGAAACTGAGAATTCCAAAGCGAAGCCTTTGAATCTCAGATGAGCAGCATGCCACAGTAAGGTCCCCTCAGGGACAGAAGTCCCTTCTGCTGTCTTGTGACTGGCAATGGCTGTCCTGCTGGCGACTCCTCCATGCACGAGGTTGACAGAACAAGTGGGGTGCCCAGGCTCTGCCCTGCTAGGTCTGCCTTGTACTCCAGAGGCTCGTGGTGCCCCTGTAAGTGAAGCCCCAGCCCAGGCCCAGCCCGCGGCCGCCCCCCCAACACGAAGACCTACCCAGGCCGTTCCCCATACGTTCCGGGCTCCCCCTCTGGAGCAAGAACATGCCCCCATCTAAAGGCAGGCCTGGTGTACTAAGTACTTGACATCACTCTCTGGTGTGTTAGGACCCTTTCCACCAGAGCCCCTCTTGGAACTCCCATGGCCCCTCCACAGCCTCAGTCTACCCTGGGCGCCTGAAGTAGGAGGGTCCAAGGTGTTGGCTTGGCCTCTGGACCAGCGTGGACCAAGGGTGAGATTCCCACGGCTCCAAGAGCCACTGCCCTTGGCTGCCTGTGAGCCTTTCTTCATGCTGTCTCCTCGGATGGGAACAGCACCGAGGCCAGCCTGGCCCGGCCCCAGCTCTGTGCAGGAGGAGGAAAGGGGCCAAGCCCAGGCGTCCTCGAGCCACCAGCCCAAAGGCCTCTGCCACCCGAACGCTGCAGAGAGGCAAGCAGATACCAGTTTAGATACAATTTTTTTTCACTTACGTCGAAGAAAGTGAGAAGTCAGAGATAAAACAAGCAAAAAATACTGTAATTCCCCCCCGACACACACACTTTTTTTTTCAACAGACAGGCCAGGTCCTGCCAGGCCCTATTCCCCATTAAATGCCCCAAGGCCACCCCCCTCCCATCCCACCCCCATCCCCACTTGTTCCCGAGCCCCGTGAGCGGTGGGAAGCTGTCTTCTGGCCTTGGGCTTCAGACTCGAGCTCCAGCCCTGGCAGGAGAAGTCACGGCTAGTGCCAGAGCACAACCTTCCTGGCCTGGTCTGCGCTCACCACATGGCTCCCCGAGGAGCACCAGGCCACGGCGTTGACGGCAGTGCTGAGGACAGGGAGGGACGGGCTTCAGGGAGGAGGCCTCAGAAGTTGGGCCTGCAGCCTGGGTTCTGCCCCTCGTTACTGGAACAGGGCAGCCTGAGGCTCTCTCTAAGCCTGTAAAATGGGCTCACAGAGCTGCGCACAAGGGAAAGCACCTTGTGAACTAAGAAGGGCTCTGAGGGGGAGGGGGGGAGGGGGGGACAAGGGCTGGGAACTCCAGGGTCCCACGCATGTCAGAACCTGGAACTGGCTTAGCAGCACTGGGGCCGGGGGTGGGGGCCATGCTCACCAGTGGGGTCCCCGCAGACTACCCTCCAGCTTGCCGGTGTCTACATCCCAGATGTAAAGGGCTCCGTCCCAGGAACCTGCCAGGGCATAGCTTCTGTCCGGGCTGCAGTGGGCACAGCAGGGCAAGCAAGAAATGATCAGAGGCGAGGGCGCACGCATGCAGACATGGACATACACGGTCGGGGGGGGGGCACGCTCAGGCTCAGGCACATGCTCTCACACACACACCTGAACACGGCTTTGGTCCAGTCAGAACCACACCTGAAGCCATCAGCCCTGAGGGCAGACACAACCAGGGTCAGAATGAACGTGGCTGCCGGTCCCTGCCCTCAGCCAGGAGTTTCAAGAGCTTCGTCTCTCCATCAGGAGCTTGGGGCACCTCAGCAGGTCCTGGTCCAGAAGGGCCTCCAGAATGGGTCCCCCACTGACAGGTCCAGAAGGGCCCTTAACAAGGGATGAGAGACCCAGCTGCCCCGGCCAAAGCCACAGTGCCGGGGGCACAAAGCAGGTACCTGAATGCCTGGCGGATATTGCTGACACGAAGGTCAATGACCTTGAGTGTGTCATCTCGGGAACAGCTGAGCAGATGCAGCTGGTCTTGGCTGAGGTTCAGGGAGGTGACCCGGCCCTGCACAGGGATGATCTGGGTGCAGCAGGGGACCCTGAGGAGCAGAGACAGAGGTAGGGATGAGGAACAGCCCACCAAGGCCACTCCTGACAGGTGAACAAAGTCAAGAGGGGCCCCCGGGTCTCAGATCACCGGGGCCAGGGCTGACGCTGACTAGTCTCCCTTCTCCCACTGCGGCCAGCCCCTCCAAGAGGAACTTAGCCAGCCTTTGACTAGAAGCTGGGGCCTCAAAACCACTGGAGAGGAAACGAGAGTTGCCATTAAACGTGTGAGAGCGCAAAGGGTCTCCAACGGCACTCACCGCACACCTGGAAGGAGACCCGGCGCCAGCTCCAGCTCCAGCACCGGCTTTTATAAATCACCCCCCTATGCCGGGCTCCAGGCCGGAAAACAACAAAAACTTTGTTTCCTTTGATTTAAAAGTGGTAACTAGGGCGCCTGGGTGGCTCAGTCGTTAAGCGTCTGCCTTCGGCTCAGATCATGATTCCGGGGTCCTGGGATCGAGCCCCGCATTGGGCTTCCTGCTCAGTGGGGAGCCTGCTTCTCCCTCTCCCACTCCCCCTGCTTGTGTTCCCTCTCTTGCTGTGTCTCTCTCTGCCAAATAAATAAATATTTTTAAAAAATAAATAAAAGTGGTAACTAAGTAGAAAAGGGGGCTCCTCCATTTTGGTTGGCAAGGCCCAGGCAGAGTCCAGCAGCTGGACCAAGAGCCACTAAAAAGGTGCCATAGGTCCCCGGAGGCAGCGGAGCCTTCAAGGGGCCACACCTAGACAGAGAAGCCACCGCAGCCTCACTTCCCTGAGATGCCTCCATGGCTCTGTGGCCAGAGAAACGAAAGAGAACACAGGAAGCCTGTCCCCAGGCCTCCACCTCCCACAGCCCATGCCTGTCACCTGCTGTCCCAGAACCGGATCTTCTGGTCACTGTGGCCACTGATGATGACATGGTCCCCACACACCACATCATTACAGTAGGAAAGGACATTGATGGTCCTGGAGCCTGGGGACCAAAGAGCAGAGCCCTAGCCTCAGAAAAAGGTTGTTGGAAGCCATCCCACTGGACATACGGAGAAGCTGAGGTCCAGAAGCCCCAGGGGGTAAGTATCCTCCCCAAACTAGAAACCAGGTCCCCTGCTTCCCAGCCCAAAGCCTAAAGTCACCAAGAAACCAAGCAGAAAAAAACACCGATGGGGAGTAGGGAAGGAGAGGCCTTGGGACCTTTCACCCCAAAGGCCTGTGAATCTTAGAGCCATTCCCAGAGAACAGGCTGAGGTGTTCTTGACCTGGCTTGGGGGTGCCAGCAGGTAGGGAGGGGGAGGGAGGGGGCTGGGCCTCACAGTAGGCGCGGCCGAGGTCCCACTCCTTCACCGTCCGGTCCCGGCTCCCAGTCACCGCCTGGTGCCTTGTTAGCTTGAATTTGGCAGCCGTCACCTTGTCTGTGTGTCCAGACAGTGTCTCCTGCGCCACCCCCCCCCCCCGCATCCCACATATGGATCAAGGACATAGCCAAGACTCCATAATATCCCCCCTCAGGGCCCAAGGCATGACCCCTGACCCCAGGGCTGCCTCCTCAGTCAGGCCTTACCTTGGACTGTACCTCCCCCACCTTCCAGAGCTGGGCGGCCTGATTGTAAGTAGCTGCTAGTACCTGTGAGCCCTGGAGAGATGGAAGGGGAAGGAAAAGGCCCTGAACCTGGGCCTGAACAGAAGCAACATCCCTCACACCAGGGAGCTGGGGCAGGGGCTGCCTTGAGCCTCCCAGATCATCCAGACAGGCAGAGTAGCCTCCAGGCCCAGGGTACGTTTGTGTAGCAGCCAGAGGGACTGGTTCTAGGACATCCATGATGTTCCTTTATGTCCCAGAGCCCCCACCTGCCCAGTGTGGAGACTGGGGGCGGGGGCACACAACAGACGTCCCATGTCACTGAGGCTAAGTCCCCTCACCGAAGAGTCGAAGTCCACACTTGTGATGCTGCCACCAGCTCCTTCAAGGGTTTGGTTGGCCTCCAGACGATCTGGGGGGACCAGGAAAAGGACAGGTGAAATGAAGTCACTAACCTCATGAAGAGGAGTTGCTGAGAAGATCAGTCTCTCCCACGTTAGAGGAAAGACTTCTGGGGGCCTGGGCTGGAGGCCGCACCTCCCCAAACTGCCAGCAGGGGGCTCCAGGGGGCAGCTGATGATCTCACAGGGCTACAGAGGACCAGGGAGAAGGGACTGTCCCGGGGTCACACAGCAAGCCAGGGCCAGACGTTTCTCTAGGAAGCCTCCAGGAAATGACTGTGACTCCCCAACACACCCACCTCTACAAGCAGAGGGTAGTTAACACTCATCTCCTGAGTTCTGAGAGCTCAAGTGACACCAGAAGAGGAGGTCAGCTGGTGGGCCCCAGGGACCTGCTTCTCAAGGTCCTATCCCTGCAGAATCTAATGAGAAGGGACCCCTGCTTCCCCTAACAGGGACCATCTGAGCTGGGCCCTCCCCATCCTGCAGACCTGGATCCCAGCAACTAGGAGGCTCAGCCCAGAGCTCTTGCCAAGGGGTCATCTGGCCACTGCCCACAAAAATGTTACATGTCAGGAAACACAAACAGATCTAAGACCTTTGCCCACTAAGGAGCAAGCTGAGGGTGGGCTCTGGAGAGAAAGCCCCAGGATGGCCCACAGAGGAGAAACCCTCACCTCCCACAACATTCCAGAGGTGGATGAGGCGGTCAGCCCCTCCGGTGGCCAGGAGGCTGCGACTGGCGCCAAAACAAACAGCATTGACCTCGGAAAGGTGGGCATCCTACGGGGAAAAGGGAGGTTGGTGCCTCTGGCCCTCACCAAACGCACCTCTCTGCACACACAGGCTCTCACACGCACCCCTGCACACATCGGGTCTCAGCAGCCCTGCAGCAGCCTCCCGCTGTACTTCCCCACCGTCCCCTGCCTGGCCTCCTGATCTCCCTCTCCAGTCCATCCCCCATCACTAAATGCTGAAAGGCTTCTACCGCTGGATGGGAAAGAACACTTGTGCTCTAGCTGAGGAGCCCAGCCTTGCTTCCCTGGCCTCCGTGGACCACCCCTGGGGCCTACACTCCCCATATGGGCACCTCATGCATGTGGCCCAGCCCCTCCCTTACCAGCACATCCTGAACCTGGGTAGGAGGTTGGGCAGCCACACACACAGGGATGCTCTGGTATCGCGGCTCAGGAGCTCCCCCAATGGAGTGGCCTCTCCTCTTCTTGAAACTGGGTGGGGGGCAGGTGTTAGGAAGGCATTTGGCAAGGCCTTCTGACATGGGAGTCTCATGCTCCTGAGGCGGCAACAACAGAAAGCAGACAAGAAAGGTGGCAGAACATGGCCCAGAGGGGCAGCGAGCTTATTCCCAACCCAGCCTCTGACCCCGGGGGGTCAGTGTGAGGACGGGAGGGGCACAGAGGCAGGGAGGAGTTGGTGACTGCAGAGCAACCTCCGGGCTGGGGTTTCCGTCTGAGCCCGGCTGCCACTTGGCTCTGTGACCCTGGACAAGTCCTGACACATCTGAGCCTATTTCCCAACTGAGTGGTAGTTCCTATCCAGGCTCAGGCTGGAGATCCTGGTCCTCTGTGAGGACCACGGATGAGGGACAGAGCGTGGAGGACAGCCAGGCAGGGCCTGGAAATGAGGGAAATGAGGTCTGGGAGAGGCAGCAGAGATTCACACAGACAGCTGGGCAACACACAGACGGACAGATCGAGACATACACAGACCAAGCCTGGAGTCCAGAAGCCTGACATGGGCCTCCAAGGGGCCCAAACCCTTCACACACATGTAGGTGCACGCACACACTTACTCCAGAAGCTCCTTCACCACATCCACACAGCGGGAGAGTGTCAAGGAGGTGGCAGAGGCAGATCTGGGGTAGAAGTGAGAGATGTGCTAAGGGACTGGCCAGTGAGTGTGCAGACGGCAGCCACTCATCCCTACACCCTGCTGGGGACACTGAGGCTTGCAGGCCTGTGAGCCTGGGACAAGAACTTGGCTCCTCCAAGAGCAGGAGAGCGGGATGACCCACGGCAGTCCCCGGAAGGTGGAGGCAGGGAGGGATTTAGGAATAAAGTCTCCCAAAGTTTCCACCATGATGGTAAGAACTGCCTCACCACCCAAGTGCCCTCCACCAAAAGTTCTGAGGAGGCTGAGCTGGCGCATATGGGGGAGAGGATGAAGGTGCCCTCAGGCTGGGATAGCACAAGGCTGGCGGATGGAGGGAGGTAAAACCTAGGCCTGCTGAGTGATCTCAAAAATGCCCAGAAGAGGATGCGTCCTGGGCTGACTTGGCCCACCGGGGCTGCCAAGGACTTTGGGGACCAGCAGCATCTCATGCCCCTCCCCAAAGTTCTTTCACTGCCCCCAGGCCCGGACACCAGTGACCTGCAAGGAAGGGCTGAAAGAGAAGCCTTCAAGTTGGTGAATGGAGCAAGGGTGGGGGAGGGCAGCTGCAATGACAGACAAATGGAGATGAACGGGGGAGACTGAGGGAATGCATGGGCTTCAGAAGCCCGTGTGAGCTCACATCTATACGTGCTCTCACGCGCTCGGATACGCTCCCCCAAGCTTGTACACACATGTGCTCTCGTGTCCCTGTGAGGACACACCTGTGCCCCTGTGACAGCTGAGTCCTGGGCCTCGCCCACAGTTCCCTCCTGGTGACACCCTTTCACCGGCCTGACACCGCACCCCCACAGCTCTGGTCCTGGGAAGGCGCCGGAGTCCCTAAGACGGCAATGACCCCAAGAGGCTCCAGGCACTGGAGATCAGACCTGTCCTCTCCCCCGAGCCCGAGCTGGGCCCAAGGCCCTAGAGGAAGACTCTGGAGTGGGGCGTGGGGCCCAGCTCAGAGCTCTGGGACAGTCCTCACCTGAACGGCCTCTTCCACTTCTCACCAGCCTCACTCTTCAGGGACAGGGGCTCAGCAGGCCGGGCCAGAGTCTCAGGCTCCTCTCTGATCCCGTCGCCTATGGGGTTTGGGCTCCTGGACAGGGCGTGAAACTCAGGGAGGTCAAGGGACCAGCGCCTCCCTGCCCCCAGGGCACAACACGGTGAAGAGGGATCTTGCGGGCAGCCGTGCTGGCGCCTACGACCAGCGCACGCGAGCCTGCGCGTGTCCTGCGGGCTCAGTCTACGTGGGGACCTCGTGCAGACAGGTGGGGGCGGGGTAGAATTGCAGGCGGAGGCCAGAGAAAAGGGCGCCCTAGAGCACGCGCGGCAGAGCGGGCTGCGGAGGCTCGGCGGGCCGGACCCGGCGCGTCCCCACGCTTACTCGCTGATGCTCACTGTCCGCTTGGCAGCCTTCTTCAGCTCCAAGGACATCCGCGCCTGCTTGGCCCTGGCGGAAGAGAAGCATCCAGAGAGCCGCGCCGGGCCGACGCGCCTCGGGCCGCGGAGGTGAAACGCGGAGCGTGCGCTCCCCCCCAGGGCCGCGGCGCTCTCGTCTCCGACGGGCGGGGCCAAGCGCGCTCACTTCTCCTGGCGCTCGAGGCGCAGGTTGCGCTCGGCGGCGGCGCGCGCCTTGCGCTGCACGAGCCGCTCCAGCAGGTCACGCGCCTCCTCCTCCAGCCGGCGCAGGGCCGCCTCCTGGAGCCTGGCGTGCGCGCGCAGCGCCTCGTAGGCCGCCCGCTGCGCCACGTTCAGCGCCCGCTGTGCGTCCACTCGCCGGGCCTGCCGCGCCCGCGCCTGCTGCAGCTCCGCGGCGCGGGCCTCCAGAGCCGCCAGCCTGCGGGAGGGGGCACCCTTCGTCACGGCGCGGTGGGAGCCGGTCTCAGAGGGGGACAGACTTGCCCCTTCCACGCCGTCAGGCAGGTGGCTAAGCCAGGTCTCCCACTCCGTGGGGAAAGCTCCCGGGCCGTGCTGGAGACACGCAGGAGCACCCCGTCGCCCCTTCCCCGGCAGAGGTGGCCCCGAGCCACCCAGCGGTGGGCGCGGTCCACCCTCGCACCGGCCCGCGCCTCACCTGCTTTGCCGCTCCTCCAGCGTCGCCTCCAGGGTGCCCAAGGCCGCGCTCTTCTCCACCACCTGGTAGGCCATCTGGGGGCGGTCGGGGGCGGAAGGTGGGCGGCAGCGCCTCTGCAGGGCTCCCGCCGCGCGCTCCCAGCCCCTCTCCGGCTGGACGTGGAGCAGAGTCGGCTGCTCCACCCACCCCGAAAGCACAGGCTCTGACAGGTGAAGGGCGGCGCACAGAACGCACTGCTGTTTTGTGGAACAGTGGAAGGGCCTTGGGCCCTGGAGCCTAACACCTGAGTTTCAGCCCTGGCAGGGCCACTTATTTTCTCCGTGACCCCGGGGCGGCCATTTAACCTCTCTGAACCTGCTGTTTCCTCACCTGTAAAGTGGGAATGATAGCACTTACCTCAGAGGGTAATGTAGAATTACTAGAAGGAGTAATATTTCAGATAATAGCAAACGTTTATATAGCACGTGTGTGTCATGCCCTGTTCTGAGCACTAGGCACATATTAACTCTTCTAATCGCCATAACGCGAGCATGAGGTAGGTACTGCCATTTTCCCGATTTCGCAGATGAGGACACTGTCACAGAGAGGTTAAGTGTCTTGACAAAGTTACACGGCAGACCACGTAACATGATGCTCCAAGTACAGGACAGGTCTACAGGAGAGGTTCAAGGGGTGCGGGCTCTGTTCCCCACTTCTCTAACCCTGGCCTAGCCGAGCAGAGATTCCAGAGAGCAACCAGGAGCCCTAAGCAGAGGCACAGGGCAAGAAGGAGAACAGGCTGTGGGAGCGTAGAGGCCAGACTGAATACCTGAGCTGCCCCCAGGCCTAGAATGGGGGTGAGGGTCACCTCATCCGTGCCCCTGCCTCATTCAGCAGTCCTTCAACCAAGAGCTGGGGAAGCCACAGAGAGGAAGGTCAAGTCCCACTTGTTAGCGCTGAAGGGTCAGCAGAAGAGACAGACCTCAGGTGAAGCAGTTCCTACCAGTGTGACAAGAGGAACATGAGGAAATAACCAAGGCGGGGGCTCTGACTGCTAACCTGTTCCTCACGTGGGCCTGGTGAGGGACGGACTGAGGAGCGAGGCCAGCGCTACTCAGCCGCACTGACAGATCTCCCTCTGCCCGTGCGCCGGCCCGTGCCTACCTTCCTAGCCGGCCCAGTTCCTAGCGGCCCAGTTCCTAACGTTTGTAATTCCTTTCACCACGGAGCAGTCTGACCTCCACTTCTGCTTCCTTGCCTGTCATTTACTTTCACTGATAGTCTGTGATTCAATATTTTGGGGAGGTTTTTCAAAAGCCAAATAATAGAGATGGAAAACAGATTAGTGGGTGCAGGGTTAGGGATGGTTGGGGGAGAGGGGTGCGTTGTGACGAAAAAGGGTAGCAAGAGGGAGATCTTTGTGGTGATGAAATTGTGCTGTATATTGCCCGTCACACAAATCTACATATGGGACAACATGACAAAGAAATCTATGTATATTTCATATCAATATCATTTTCCTGATCATGTATGCTATAGTTACATAAGAAGTAACCAATCTTTGCAACTTCCTATGATCTATAATTATTTCCCCCAAAAAGCTAAAATAATAACAATGATATATGCTTATTGCAATATGTGAAACAGTACTAAGAATTAAAGAAAACTCCCCTTCCCCTGGCATATCCAATGGGAACTGACTGGTGTGTTCTGAGGAAGTGCCAGGGAGGAAGTGCTAAGGGCAAGGGGTTTGTGGAAGTGTCCCAGACCAAGGGGACTATTAGTTCAGAGACAGGGAGAGTGGCAGGAAATTCTGGAGAACCCCCCTGGGAAGGCTAAAGGGCTCTGGAAGATGTATACCAAACTGACAATGGGAGAGATGGTGAAGGGGGTTTCACTTCTTTACTCGGTGGGCTTCTGTTCTCTTGAAATGTTCACAAGCATGTGTGTCTGTATTGTCTTTTTTTAAGGAAGATCTTTTTGTTATTAAAATATATCACTCTGGGGGCACCTGGCTGGCTCAGTTGGTAGAGCATGGGACTCAAAATCTCCGGATCGTGAGTTCAAGCCCCACGTTGGGCATGGAGGCTACTTAAAAAGAAAAACGTGTGTGTGTGTGTGTGTACACATATATACATACATACATAGGTGTGTGTGTATATATATTTCTCACTGTGAGTGCTGTATGGAGAATGGATGGGAGTGCCAAGGGAGGGGTTGTCCAGGAATGATGAGGGTAACTTGGGCCAGGCCAACAGAGAGTTGATGGATTTGGAGGCAGGATCCATGAGCTGATGACTGCTAGCTAGCTCAGGATGGAGGGCTGGGAGGGACTAGAGGTGCCCCCTCAGTTTCCAGCCCAGTGACTACCAGTTGGGGGTGGAGGGTCTACCTCATCCATCATTTAGTCTACAAATATTTATTAGCATGGACTGTGAGGACAGACCCCAGGGATAAGTGGAAGCAAAGCAAGGGCATCCCAGGCCTTGGAGATCTCACAGCCCAGGAAGTGCCTCAAATGTCAAGTTGTAACTACAATAGGGGCTCTGAGGGAGAGGCTCTCACTGGGTTCATAGCCCCACTCCCACACTCGTTGGGCAAGTAACGTGGCATGCTGTAACTAGGCATGTGTTTATGGCCAACAGCCTCCATTGGACTGGAAGCTCCACGGGGCCAGGTCTTGTCCTTATCATGTGCCTTGGATAATGACAATTGTCAATAAATCTTTGTTGAAAGAATGAATGGAGATCACAGAAGATGGATTCATGTGGGAAGGAGTTCAGATCCTGGCTCCGCTTCTCTAAGCCTCAGTTTCCTGCTGTAGAGTTGTGGAGGATTAGCTGAAATAATGCTTAGCCCAGCACCTGCAGGAGTCCCGTCTCCATGTGGTGCTTGCCATATACTATGGGGGAGATGGGGAATCTGATTTTAGATGTGATGTCCAAGAACCCCAGCTGACCAACAAGTGTGGAGCTCAGGGGAGAAGACTGGGCCAGAGACAGGTCTGGGAGTCAGCATACCATCTTTGAGGCCACAGGAGTCCGTGAACCCACCCAAGCTCCAAGGAACACCCACATTTAAAGAGGAGGAGGAAACGAGCCAGAGAAGGAAGTTCAGAAGCAACTGCTACAGAAAAGAGAAGAAAACCAGGACAATGTGGTGAAACTGCAGCCAAGAGGCACCACGGGGTGGGGGCAGCAGTGTCGGGTGGAAATAGCACACCCTGCCGTGGGGGTGGGCCACCTTCCTCATTTGGTCTGCAAGTGTATACTGTGCATCAGCCGGTGCTGGGCCCCAGGGTTAGGGAGGCAGGCTGTGAACAGAGCAGGCGGGACCTTCTGGAAGGGGGAACAGACTCATCTGGCCTTGTGTACCTCATCCTCCTCTCTGAGCGCTCACCTCACATCCTCTAGCTGCTGTTGGAGACCACGTCCTCCTGGGCTGCCAGAACCAAGCTAGAGAGCACTGTGGCACTGGACTTGGAGAATGTCCCTCACTTGCCGGATCCCTTGGACCACATCCCCTTGCCCCCAAAGTCCTGGATTCTGGCCCCACGCCATTCTCTCTCAGACCCCTGCCCAGCCTACCTCACCACAGACCCGCCGGAGCTCTTCCTCCTCCTCTTGCCACTTCACCCTCAGAGTGGTTGGTGATGGGACTTGGTCTGAGTCCGGCCCCGATTCCTCTTCCCTGCCAACCAATAAGAGAACGGTGTTCTTTGTCCCTCAGTTCACCCACAGGATGAACACGGAAAGCCTGAAACCAAAACCATGAACTTTCTCCTAAGGAAGATGGAAACCCAATGCCAGTAGAGGAAAAGGCAAGTCTCCAGAAACTGAAACTGCCCATGACTCCTCTGCCCTAGGACTTCCCCAGGCCTTGGGTTCACTAGCTAGGACCCTCCTTAAGAAGCACCTCCCAGGGGGGGCACCTGGGTGGCTCAGTCATTAAGCGTCTGCCTTCAGCTCAGGTCATGATCCCAGGGTCCTGGGATCGAGCCCCGCATCGGGCTCCCCACTCGGCGGGAAGCCTGCTTCTCCCTCTGCCACTCCCCCTGCTTGTGTTCCCTCTCTCACTGTGTCTCTCTCTTCAAATAAATAAATAAAAATTAAAAAAAAAAAAAAAAAGAAGCACCTCCCAGCGGCGCCTGGCTGGCTCAGTCGGTTGAGCATTTGCCTTTGGCTCAGGTCCTGAGACCCTGGGATCGAGCCCCTGCATCAGGCTCCCTGCTCCATGGGACCCTGCTTCTCCCCCTCCCTCTGCCTGCCACTCCCCCTGCTTGTATGTGTGTGTGTGCATGCTCTCTCTCTGTCAAATTAATTAATTAATCTTTATTTAAAAAAAAAAGCACCTCCCAACTCTGAGGCCCAACCCATTCCTGGTTCTCATCTTCACTCCCCCTTTGGCATATGTAGCAAGACCCTTTCTGTAGGCATCAGGTAAGGATCAGGGACACAAAAAGAGGAGGGGGAAAGGCAGGAGTGTGGGGGTGGGAAGGGAAGAGATGAGACAAATGCAGAGATGGACTTAGAAAGGTGGTGAAGAAAGGGCATTCTAAGCAGCTGGCCTGGAGGAAGTTTCAAGAGACCAGCTCCTCCCTCCCCTGGGTAGCATTTAAGGACCAATGAGATGCCAGGGAGAAAATGAAGCCAGCATAGGCAGTGGGGGCAGGGCCCAGGCATAGGCAGCCCATTGTAACCAGGAACACTCATACACTCACCAGGGGCGCTGGAGGGTAGCAGGAGTGACATCATTTGGCTCTGGCTGCAGCTTCTCTGAGATCCGGGCCAGCAACTCAGCCTTCTCTAGGAGACGGTTATCTAGGGGTACAAAGACAAACACTTTCCAGCAGACTCCAGGCATACCTCTCTGGCTGGGAGGGCTGCAGGAGCCCAGGGATGCAGAATGGCAGAGCTACTGGCAGGTTGGGCTCTGCCCTTTGCCTGAGGGGTGTTTGTGGGCTCTACCCAGAACTTCAGCCTTAGCACAGCCTCCTCACAGCACCTGCCCACAGGCCCTCCCAGGAAACCGTCTCTCCAGGGGACAGAGAAAGACAGCCATTGCAGGGGAAGTAGATGGCTGGCCTCACCGACCACTGTGGGTCCTGAGGGAAGGACAGCGCCAGGGATTGATTCAGCCTTGCCCCAGAGCAAGTCTTTGCCCCAAAGAGTGATGAAATAAACCCAGCTCCACCTGCCTACGGCCTTTGGCAAATTACTTCCCCTCCAGGGGCTCTAATTTTCTACTCTAAAAAACAATCCTCTCTTCCCCTGAGTTGGGGTAAGGTTCCCCCAGGCCAGAAGAGAAAGTCCTTGAGCAACTATCCAGCAGACCTCCTTGAATTTGTTAGCTTTTGCTGCAGACCCTGGAATATCTCCCTCCACCCCCACCACACTCACTTCCTCTTTTCTCACCAGTTCCAGGGTAGGGTGGGGGTGGTAAGCCCAGGCCTAGCTCCTCAGCTCCTTTCCTTCACCCGGTTCCCTGCCTGTCACTTCGACTGAGGTCACTGTGCTAGTTCTCACACAAAACCCCACCCCAGCCCCCAGGGCACTGCACTGGCCCCCCAGCAAATCTAAAGAAGACGCCATTTTGCCCAGTTTATGGGTGATAAATCTGAGGCTTAAGGATACAACCCACCCAAGACCACAGAGAAAACTGGAGCTTCATTACGTCTGATCGCAGCCCTCGGGGTCTCTCCAGTCCCACAGACTGCAGCTCCTGGGGGACAGGGGTGACTTCTCCCTCAAATTGGATGGTTCCACTGTCCATCAGAGCAGTGAAAAAGTGAGGTTGCCTGGAGGCAGGAGGCTGACCTCACATCCCTGAGGGAGAGGACCAGCAGCCTAGAGGGTTGCAGGTAAATGACCCAGGACAAGAGCTGCAAATGCAGTTTGGGGGATCAGGGGGGAGATAGTTAAGCAGCAGCCAAAATTAGGACCAGTGATGGAACTGGAGGGATAGTGGTGGTAACTCCCCCCACCCAAACCCCCCAACATACAATTTCGAGGGACCAGAGCCACTTATGCACACTTGTGCCCCCTGGCTTGAACTGCCATACCCACTCCTGACCAGCCCCCCGCCCCCGGCCCCAAACACCTGAGTATGACTCTTCTTGGGCTCAGCCAGCAGCTTGGAGTCCCCTGTTTCTCCCTCGGGCCGCGGCTGCCCGAGCACAGAGGCGCTCCAAAAACCTGAGCCAGGATCACGTACCAGTGGCAAAGCCTGAGACGCTGAGCTTCCTCCCTAGAGATTCAGAGAAGTAGCTGCTCTCGAGAGTTCTTTCACTGGGTCACAGGGACCAAATGGATTGACTAGGTTGTACCCTGAGAACTGCCCCGGGAGGGGGAAGCATAAGAGACCCTAAAAAACCAACACTAGCTAACAAACCGGTGCCCAGGAAACCCAGTCCGGGAGAGGCGGGCCCTGAGGGGCCAGGAGGGGAGGAGCACCGGGAGGGAGCTCCGTCCGGGAAGGGGCTCTAAGCTAGAGCCTGGACTGGAAAGGGCAGGAATGCTGGCTAGTCAGAGGTGGGGCGAAACAGAGGGGCCAGAAGGCCCAAGGATTCGGAGGCGAGAAGGCTTTTCTGCCCGCGGGTCACTGCCCGAGGAGCCAGACAACCCTCCCTCCCCGCGCCCGGATCTCCGTCCCCTCCCTCCACTGCCATCTTGCAGGGCCCCCGTGGCGCACTCACAGGCCGGCACCAGCTCCACGAAGAGTGTCTTTTGCGTGCGGTCCCGCTGCCGAAGCTGCCGCACTATGTGGCGTTTCCAGCGGGCGACGGGCACGCCGGGGGCGCCGGGCCCCGCCATAGCCGCTCTCCCGCCCGCACGGCGCGCCGCTCCCACGGAAGGAGGCGCGACCGGGGCGGGGCCTCTGGGGGACTCCGTGACGTCAGGGGGCGGCAGCGGCGGGGACTCCCCGGATCGTCCTAAGAGCGTTCGTCGGGGGAGAAAGCCGAGCAAACGTGCTGGGAAGCCTACCCCAGGGTCTACAGCACCCGGACCGCACCAGAAATTCTCACCCACGTCGGGGTGCCATCGCTGTCCGCCGCAGTGAGCCGGGATGGAGGTCGCGGCCTCCGGGGCGGCTTCCCCCACGCCTGTGGGCGAGCTGTCGGGCCGGCCTCCCGGTGCCGGGCCTCAACCCCTCGGCGCCGAGACCGAGTTCGGAAGTAACCGACGTCGCCCACGGCCCCTCCGGTCAGGTCGCGCTCCGAGCTGGGGACCTAGAGACGCCTCACACCCGGACCCTGCCCTGGAGGCGCTCAAGGTCTGCGAGGGGAGGCGACACAGGCACGAGGCACACACAGCGTGGCGGCGAGGCGGAGCGCCGAGGAGGAAGGGACCGAAGTGAAGAGGCGCTGCTTTCGCGGATGACGGCGTTTGAGTTGGAACCGGAGGGCTGCAATAGGTAGGTGCTGGCCAGGACGAGAGAAGGACTCCAGGCAGCGGGAAGAACAGGTGCAGAGGTTTGAGGATATCAAAACTCCCAGAGGACAGAAACTCGTGAGACAGGAAGCAGAAGAGCCCTTGTGGAGAGCAGGGCTTAGGGGCTTAGTTCTTCGCAGAAAGTGGAGGTCCCTGAGAGCGAAGGGCTGCAGCGGACTTCATCTGGCAAATCCCGGGCCCCTGGGGTTGCACAAGAGTGGGTGGCTAACCTGGCCAGCAGCCCAGTGTCCTGTCCCCGGGTTCAACCGTTCACTCTCTTGGGGCGGCCTCTGGAGGAGTAGCAACATCTCGTGCAGGTACACTTGACAGTGAATCATGGGTTGCAGGGAACTGTGATAAAACTGTCTCCAGCCAAGACCCCCTGTCCAGAGCTCTGCAGACACGTATGGTGTGAAGAATGAAAGGAGGGATTCACTGGACCCAGCCTCAGCCTGCTCTCCGTGAGTGAATGCAGGCCTGGCTCTCCCCTGGGAAACAGAGAAATCCGGCGACACTGGGGAGCCACACGGGCCCTGGAGGTGACACGTCTCTTGAGATGCGCGTTTCTCAAGAGATGGTGGGATGGGTCACAGGACTTGGAAGGCAGTAAATGCCAGTGACACCCCAGGATAATGGACCCCTGCTATGCTTTGAAACCACCATGAACTGAGCTCAGCCCCCCACATTTCCTTTGCACAAGTTCCTTTGAAACACCTTCCCCCCTTGGGTGCCTGGGTGGCTCAGTTGGTTAAGCGACTGCCTTCGGCTCAGGTCATGATCCCGGAGTCCCAGGATCGAGTCCCGCATCGGGCTCCCTGCTTGGCAGGGAGTCTGCTTCTCCCTCTGACCCTCCCCCCTCTCATGTGCTCTGTCTCATTCTCTCTCACACAAATAAATAAATAAAATCTTAAAAAGAAAGAAACACCTTCCCCTCTAGTCCTCCTGACTCCTCCTCATGGGTCACCTCCTCCAGGAAAACTTTCCTGCCCCTTCACTGACTGAAGGCCTTTCTGAACTGAGCCACACTCCAAGCCTAGCCTGTCTGTTGAAGGAGTGAGTGTAGGTAGTAACAATTTCCAGAAGGCATGGCCAGGAGACTCCATGTACCATGGAGACCCAGAGCCAGTTGGTGACAGTGAAGAATTTCTTTTAGGACTGTCTTGACTCTCAGGTGCTGGAGATACCATCATGGGTCTGTGTGCATCAAAGGGTGTGTTAACAGGGCTCTGCTCGGCCGTGAGGTGCAGAGGCGATATCTCTCTCAAATAAGGAGTTGTTTGGGGGTGAGGGGTTCCTAACCCTTTTTTGACTCACAAAACACTCCTAGGAAATTTGAAATAATTTGTCATTTTTGAATAATATGATAAAGAAGTGATTGATTTTGACTAAAAATATTTATCTTCTGGGTGCCTGGGTGGCTCAGTCGTTAAGGGTCTGCCTTCGGCTCAGGTCATGATCCCAGGGTCCTGGGACCGAGTCCCACGTCGGGCTCCCTGCTCAGCAGGGAGTCTGCTTCTCCCTCTTCCTCTGCCTGACCCTCCTCCAGCTTGTGCGCTCTCTCTGTCAAATAAATAAATAAAATCTTTAAAAAATCTTTAATTTAAAAAATGTTTCTTCTATCTTTAGAATATGAGAGATTGTGTTATAAAGTTCACTTAAAATCTTAGATAACATTCACAGTATATGACAACACATACCTATTTTTCACATTTAACATGCTGTTTCATTTATCTTTATGTGAGAAAAACACGATTTGATGACCAATATATATAAAAAGTGACTAAATCATAATTTAGAGACCTAATGCACTTTAGAATATGTAGTTGGCTCCTGAACAACATGGGTTTGAACTGCGCAAATCCACTTATCTGCAGACTTTTTTTCAATAAATATAGTACTGTATCATGGGAGAAAAAGAAAGGCCAGGCTTTGTTGTGACTTGGCTACTGGGACCTCGGAGTCTCCAGGCAGAATTCCTGAGACATACAGATTGTAACATTCCTCCAGCTTCCCTCAAGGACTTTCTTTTTTTTTTTTTTTTTTTTAAGATTTTATTTATTTTTTTGACAGAGAGAGACATAGCAAGAGCAGGAACACAAGCAGGGGGAGTGGGAGAGGGAGAAGCAGGCTTCCCGCAGAGCAGGGAGCCCGATGTGGGGCTCGATCCCAGGACCCTGGGATCATGACCTGAGCTGAAGGCAGACGCTTAACGACTGAGCCACCCAGGCGCCCCCTCAAGGACTTTCTTTAATGTTTTACCACTGTAGCTTTGCTCTTGTTAGTGTTACTTCCCTCTGATAGCCATATACTCCCCCCAAAGATATATATAGCAATTACCTTCTGAGCATATGGCCCACTGATATACATCTGAAGGGTCTCAAGACTCATGTTTTACCAGACAGTGGTAAATAACCTTACCTTAGCAGCAGCTAGCCACTCAAGGCCCTGGAAGGCCTTGCTTCCAAATTCCTTGGACACTTATGCTCTAACCCCCACTAACTAAAAAGTATTTAATCAGTCACTCCCCACAAACACAAGCTCTTTCTGCCCACAGGTCCTGTCCCTGTGCTATAATAAAAGCACCTTTTTGCACCAAAAACATCTCAAAAATTCTTTCTTGACCATCTGCTCATGGCCCCATATCACTGTAAATATATTTTCTCTTCCTTACAATTTTCTTAATAACATGTTCTTTTCTCTTACTCTTATATACTATTATATAGTATATAATACATATAATATACAAGATATGTGCTAATCAACTGTGTTATTGGTCAACAGTAGACTATTAGTAGTTAAGCTTTCAGAGAGTGAAAAATTATATGCGGATTTTTTTTACCATGCAGGGGTTGGTGCACCTAACCCCCATGTTGTTCAGGCTCAGCTGTAGTTTAAAACTTACACTTGGGTTAGGCATCTCCCAGCAGCCACAGTGATTGTTTAAAAACCTAAATCAGCTCATGTCATTCTTATTTAAAACCCTCCAAAAGGCTTTCCAGCATATTCCATCCAGCATATTCAAAGCAAATCTCCGATCCTTTATCATGTCCTACAAGGTCCCACTCAAATCTCTGACCTTACCTCTTTCTACCCTGTGAACAAAGCCTTATTCACAACACTGAATAACTCATTCCCTAACTCATTCCCACATTGGCGCCTTTGCCTTGGATATTCTCTATTCCTGCTGCTCTTCCCTCAGATCTTTTAAGGCCTGACACAACCCCTTTTTTCAGGAGATTTTCCCTGTTCATCCAGTCTGAAATAGCCTTTATTCCAATCAATATCTATAACATCATCTAATTGTTCTTCCTTTCAGAGCACTTATCACTCCCACAGAGGATCATTTTTCTGTGCTTGTTCAGTTGTTTTTGATCTGTCTTTCCAACCTGACTGGAAGATTCAGGAGAGCCAGGACCAAGTCAGCTTTGATCCCGCACTGTCTTCAGCCCTAGAACAGGACCTGACACCAATTGAGGATGTGATCAGTACATATTTATTGCTGTTGCTGTGGCATCAAAACTATACAAAACCAATTTTAATGGCCCAATGCTTAGAAGTTGTGAATTCAAAATTGTAGCTATATCGAGTACCTATGGCTCAGTCAGTTAAGCATCTGATTCTTGATCTCAGCTCAGATCTTGATCTCAGGGTCATGAGTTCAAGCCCTGCGTTGGGCTCCATGCTGGGCATGGAGCCTACTTAAAAAAATAATATTAAGGAACACCTGGGTGGCTCAGTTGGTTAAGCATCTGCCTTTGGCTCAGGTCATGATCCCAGGGTCCTGAAGCTGAGTCCTGCATCAGGCTCCTTGCTCTTCAGGGAGCCTGCTTCTCCCTCTGCCACTCCCCTGCTTGTGTTCTCTCTCTCTGACAGATAAATAAAATATTTAAAATAATAATAATTAATAAAAAATAGAAAAACAAAATAGTAGCTATATCTAATTGAAATATAAATCACATGCACATAGCCAAAAATTTAAATAGTACAAGAGTGAGACTTTTTGCCTCACTCCATCATATCAGTCAGGATGGGACAGGCTGTTCTCTGGTCTTTTGTTTCTCTATTATTTAATACATCTATTTCTTAGTAGCTCTCATGATTCTGTGTGTTGGCTGAGCTCAGCTAGG